AATAATAATAATAATAATAAAATTATTCTCTCTAAACACAAAATCCAGAAGTCTAAGTAGCAAAATGCTAACTAGACTTATTTTAAGACAAAATAATTTATTTCCAGTAATATTTTTAATGGATGTTATGGTGCTTTAGGATGTATTCTATTTCTTAGAATATTATACTGCTCAACCAAGATTTGCTTGTAAGAGGTTAATTTCCATTTGATTTCTAAGGTTTTCCTCAAAACATAAGGCCCAAATTAAAATTTTATTTGGGAAGGGGTTTTTTTTTTAGACTCAGTAATCTGGTTCCTGGATCAACAGGGATTTTATTACTTTTTCCATCTCAAAAGCTCTCCATTTAGTGTATTTAACAGTCCATTTTCTAAAAAAGTTAAAGGCACTAAAATTACAAACATTACCCTTTGGCAAGTGTTGTACCCTTCTCCTTTCAGGTGAGTTCTACGGTATCACTGATTGATGTTGTTCAAAGTAAAGTACTCAGCATATTCTTTTCTTATTAATTTATTATTGTGACCTGAGTGAAAGTTTACAGCCTAGATTGATTTTCCACCCGGTAATTCAAACAGGCTATGTTTCATGACATTGATTACAAGCCCCACCATAGCAGCAGCCTCCTCACTTCCTCCCTGTGTTTCTTGTTTCCATCTGTCTTTGTTCCTTGCCTCCTGTGCTTTATTCCTAAGCAAGTAACTGTCCCTGTTGTCTTACACGGGCTGATTGATTCCAAGGAGTTAGTTCCTATCTGGTGTTACAGATCATTGCTTTAATTATTTATTGTTTAGCTAAAAGGTGAGTTAAGGGGGTGATTTCTGTTCCAAGTGTGAAGGGTGACAAAAGGTCATAGCCTTGAGGGTTCCACCAATTTATGAAGCACATTCTTACCTTGGAAATTTAAAAATGTACCTCATAAACTAATTTGAGAAATTTCAAACTAATACATCTAAAGCAAAGTATGTAGTAAAAAATCAGCACAATAAAAGAAAAAGCACAGCACGAAGTTACACTAAATTATTTTTCTCAGAAATACTGTAAACCTGAAAATTATACATCTGCATTTCAAAACAGGATAGTAAAATCTCCTTTCAACTCTAATACAGTGAAAATAAGGAAAAATGCAAATTTAGAGTAATTTAAAGAAATGATGCAGCCTTGCATTTTAGATTGTCCACTTTCATCAATCAGAGTAATCGTCTACAACTTCCCTACCTTTCCAACTGTTTCTGATGCTTCTCCTCCCTAGCCTGGGCCTTCATCTGTTGTACTTCAATAGTATCAGGTTTCCTTCTTCGCATGTAGAGCTCATGGTTTCCCATACATAAAGCCAAAATCCGCTTATTGATTCTCAGGCGTGGTGCATAAAAAACAAAATCCTAAATGCAAAACATTCTCAATTAAAAATTCAGTGTCTCTCAAATTTGTACAGAATTTTAAATGTATAATGAATTCTAATGTCCTATTACACACAGCAATCATAAAATTTCATTAACTCCTAGTAAATATGCCATACTTTCACATAACTGGTTCCTCACCATTTTGTGCCTCATCACTTTCACAAGGTTAATATTCTCACTTCATCACACATCAATTTATTATTATTATTATTATTTTTGTGTGCGTGTACCATCAAATCAGATCTGACTGGTACAGGAGGAGATTATCCCTCCTTCCCCGGCAGAGCATCTGGTGGATTCGAACCATTCGCCTCTGGGATTGTAGCTGCAGCTCCTTGCCACTAGGCCACCAGAGCTCCCCTCATCACACATCAAATTTATTCTTTTTTTTTCTCTCCTCAAAATGTAAGGTCCAAGTAAAAGAGATTTTTAATCTTTACCTTTGTCATAAATCTTAAATTTTCTCATAGTCCTGTGTTTTGTTTAATCTAGAAATGTTTTATCTTTTTGTCTTTTCAATAAGAGTTAAAATACCAGCTTATGGTTGGCACTAAACTAGCGCCACTGAATTACTTCTGGCTTATGATGACCCTATGTGTGTCAACACAGAATTGTGTTGCAGAGAGTTCCCAATGGCCGATTTTTCAGAAATCAAGCACTAGCCTTGTTTCACATCAAAATAAAATACAAGCCTTCAGTGGTAGGCAAGCAGTGACTGAATCTGAGGTACAAGAGCTGGAAATCAAGCCTAAAGTCCAGAATAGAAGTTAAGAATTCTACTACTGTAACATGCCAAACTATTATAACCAGTTAATTCAAAACATGTTTATAACTACTTTACTTCAATGCAACAAACATTTTAAAATAGTGCTTCTTTTTATTTATTTAATTTTTTAAATGTTTATTTTATTACTTCTGTGTGTGTGTACCGTCAAATTGGATCTGACTGGTACGGGAGGAGATTGCACCTCCTTCTGCAGCAGAGCATTTGGTGGATTCGAACCACACATCTCTGGGATTGCAGTGCAGATTCTTGCCACTAGGCCACCAGAGCTCCCCTAAATACTGCTTCTTTTTAAATCATTAACTATGAAATGTTACTTGTGTTAGATTGTCATTTCACTTTTGGCAATATGAACATTAAAACAAAAGGCTAATAATATTATCTCATAAAACCTAGCCCTCAGGGAAAGGCCCTGGCTTTTGTAATTCTATCAAGTCAGATCAATCTGATCCTCCAGTGGATTTTCAGAAGCAGTACATCACACAGGAGAGGTTTGTCCACCTTTCTTCAGCAAAGCAGCTGGTGGATCCAAATCACCTGCCTTTGGGTTGACAGCACAATTCCTTACACTAAACCATCAGAGCTCCCTAGCAATCGATTTCCAAAATATCAGCCACTGAAAACCCTATGGAATTAAAACCAACTTGACAGTAACTGGTAATAATCAGTTGGAAATTTTACCAATTATCTTTTCATAACCGCAACAAAATTTCAAACTATCTAGGAATAAGCTAAACAGAAAGCACATATTGACAACTTTTTTGGAAGACAATCTAGCCCAAATAAAGCACAACAGACTCGGAGGTATGCAATTATTATAAACTGCATTTGATTCTTTTATTTTTTCCTTATTTTTATTGTATTATTTTTACATGTACCGTCAAATCAGATCTGACTGGTACGGGAGGAGATTGCCCCCTCCTTCTCCAGCAGAGCATCTGGTGGATTTGAACTGCATACCTCTGGGATTGCAGTGATTCTTTTATTTTATCACTACAAAAGAAAAAATATCTAGAAATTACCTCTTTATAATTATTATTTTAAATGTAACTGAAAGGTATACTGAGCTATGTCTCAATCATTAAAAACTCTCACTAAACAATTCTGTCAAGAGATCAGAGACTTCTTAATTTTAGAGCATTCCCATTCAAGGCCTGCAAAAAGGTATAAAAATAACAATACTACCCTTAGTTTAAAAAGGAAAAGTTAACTGTATATTACATCTTCTCATATAGCCCTTCTGATCATATGTTCATACTTATACAGTCTCTACCAAGGGGGCTCTGGCGGGCTAGTGGGTAAGAAGTTGCACTGCCAACCAAATCTACCAGCTGCTTCACAGGAAAAAGATGGGCAGTCTCTGAACACCTGATGGAGGGTTAGCTATAAGCCATTTCCAATTTTACAGCAAAGAGCAAGTGAGGGAGACCTGGAGGTAAACACTATACTGAATTTCATGTTGATCATTTCCATCAATTTGTTTAGAGCAGATCACACTATATGTGATAATTATAATACTAAGCAATATAGTATTATTTTAAAACATTTTAAATGTTATAATTATTACTTAAAGGGGGGGGGGAGCCTTCATTCTTAAATAACTTCTTCCTGATTTGTAAAGTTAAGTTGGGGAAAGAAAACATGTGTTGGGAGCAATTCAATAAATAAACAATGTGATTTTCAAGTGACATCACAACAAACTAACGGACACATAGTGTTAACAAATAAAAACATGGAAATGTTACTTACAGGTGCTTTCTTGTCAATTGGTTTTATAACAAATTTTTTGTCATTAAATGAAATGTTTCTTATTTCACTCCAAGGAAAACCAATTTTCGGTGTTAACCTTCAAAAATGAAAGCATCCCTTTAATTAAAGACAGGAAACAATGTACTGGTACCAATGTAACTTGAACAAACATTTTTAAGAATTCCAGATTTTCAAAGTGTATTTAACTCTATTCATAACAAGTATACTCATAATATACAATTAAAATTATCTTTCGCAGAATTTTAAATTAAATCACATAAAATAAAGAATAATTGTTTCAAGAGCTCATATATGTGTCATAAACCTTAAAAGCATTATAGTAATTTTCTTAGAACTACTTAGAATAAACCACTGGGTGAACAATGTGTACGGGTGAATCTCCTAAGGCTTTTTTACTACCGTTATTTAGGTTTGGCTTTTTTTTTAAAAAAAAAAAAGGCATCAAAAAATTAAAATTTAAGAAAAGTGAGGAAAAAAGGCATCACTGGCATAGACTTTGGTGCTTGTATAGCAAGGTAAATAAAAAAACTCTACCTATTAAAGCAACTGTAGCTATCATTCCTGAAGAGGGCTCTGAGAAACAGATGTATTTTATGTAAGTTAAATAAATAAATGTGATCAAATCATATAATAGTTACAATGCTTACCATGTATTATACAATGATATTTTACTTTCTGTTGTTGCTAGGCGCCGTTGAGTACAACCCAAAGTGACCCTATGGACAACAGATCTGAACCAGGTTCTATCGTGTGTCATCCTCTCACTTCCTGACACACTCAAGCCGGTTGGGGCAATCACTGTATCAAGCCACCTGGTTGAGAAGCTTCCAATCTCCAACCCACCACTTTTCCAAGAATCATGTCCCTTTCCAAGGAATAACCTCTCTTAGCAACATGCCCAAAGAATAAGAAACAAAGTTTCAACATCATTGCCTCCAAGGAACACTCGGGATACACATTCTCCAAGATATACTTGTTTTTTTCCTTTGGCAGCCCATGGGATGTTCAGTACTCTTCTCCAACACCACAGCTCAAAGGCCTCAATTCTGTTGTTGGCCTTATTCACTGTCCAGCTCTCAGATAAATGGGAAGTGATAGGGAAGACCAAAGCCTAAATCAGATGCACCTTAGTCCTCAAACTGACATCACTGCTCCACAATAATTTGGAGAGATCCCCAACTACAGACTTTTCTAGTGCAATATACTTCCTGATTTCCTGACTGCTGGTACTAAGGGTGTTGACTGTGGATCCAAGTAAGATGAAGTCAATTTTTCTTCCATCTATCAGGATGGTGCTTATCAGTCCAGTGGTAAGAATTTGTGTTTTCTTGACACTGAGATGCAATCCACATTGAAGGCTGTATTCTTTGATCTTCTGCAACAGGTGCTTCAAGTCCTACTCATTTTCAGCTGCATAACGCAGGTTTATTGTTGAGTCTTCTTCTGATCCTGACACCACATTCCTCATCACAGACTCCACCTTCTCAAATAATTTTCTCAGCACACAGACTGAACAGGTATGAAGACAGGATACAACTCTAACACAACTGTGCTCTGAAATTTCCCATGCGAAACCTTTACGAAAAGGCTGTTGTGAGAACAGAGCAAGGAACACTACACGGTTAAAAATGAAGGAGTGCATCTACTCTATAAATACCCCTAAATACTCCTATAATAAAGGTTAACTTCCTAAAATGCACTGTAAATGTAATAAATCACGTATCTATTATTTTCATTCCTACTGCTTCTGATTTCTATCATCAGCAGAGAACTGCCAGAAGTCCAGGCTGGTTTAGAAGGGGTCGTGGTACTAGGGATATTGTAGCTGATGTTAGATGGATCTTAGCTGAAAGCAGGGAATACCAGAAGAATGTCTATCTGTGTTTCATTGATTATGCAAAGGCGTTTGACTGTGTGGATCATAACAAACTGTGGCTGACTCTGAGAAGAATGGGAATCCCAGAACATTTAATCGTGCTAATGTGAAACCACAACCCTGCTTGCTGAAACTGAAGAGGACCTGAAGCGCCTGCTGCAGAGTGTCAAGGACTGCAGCCTACAATATGGATTGAGGCTCAATGTCAAGACAAAGATTATCACCACTGGACCAATTGGCAGCATCAGGATGGATGGTGAAGAGAATGAGATTGTACACAACTTTAGTTTGCTTGGCTCCATATTCAACAGTTTTGGCACCAGCAGCCAGGAAATTAAAAGGCGCATTGCCATGGGAAGGTCTGCTGTTAGATACCTCTCCAAAGTACTGAAGAGCAATGGTGTCTCTCTGGAGACTAAGGTGCGTCTGATACAGGCTATGGTTTTCCCAATCACTTGTTATGCATCAGAGAGTTGGACAATGACCAAGGAGGATAGAAGGAGAATTGATGCCTTTGAGCTGTGCTGCTGGAGAAGAGTATCGAGAATAATATGGACTGCTAGGAAAACAAACAGATTTGTCCTGGAAGGGGTTCAACCGGGTGGCTCCTTGGAGGCAAGGATTCTGAGGCTCCGTCTAACATACTTTGGACATGTTGTGAGGAGAAACCAGTCCTTGGAGAGAGTTATCATGCTTGGGAGGGTGTAGGGACAGCGCAGGAGAGGAAGGCCCTCTATGAGGTGGATTGATTCAGTGACTGAGATAATTGGGATGGGAGTGTCAGAGACGGTGCGATTGGCACAGGACAGAGTGGAGTTTAGGGCTGCTGTACATAGGGTCGCTATGAGTCGCAAGCGACTCGAGGGCACATAACAACAACAACAATGCGAAACCTATACTTGGACCAAGAGGCAGTCATTAGAACAGAACAAAGTAACACCGCATGGTTCAAAATTGGGAAGGTGTACGCCAGGGATGTGTCCTATCTCCACATCTTTTCAACCTGTATGCAAAGCAGATTATCTGAGAGGCCAGGCTCTATGAGGAGAAGTGTGGCGTCAGGATTGGTGGAAGATCTATTAACAATCTGCGTTATGCAGATGACACAACCCTGCTCGCTGAAACTGAGGAGGATCTCATTCACTTGCTGCAGAAGGTCAAGGACTGCAGCCTTCAGTATGGACTGAGGCTCAATGTCAAGAAGACAAAGATTCTCACCACTGGACCAACTGGTAGCATCAGGATGGATGGCGAAGAGATTGAGATTGTTCACAGCTACAGTTTGCTTGGCTCCACGGTCAACACTCTTGGCAACAGCAGTCAGGAAATCAAAAAACGTATTGCGATGGGAAAGTCTGCTGTTAGGGACCTCTCTAAAGTACTCAAGAGCAGTGGTGTCTCTCTGGAGACTAAGGTGCACCTGATACAGGACATGGTCTTTGCAATCATTTGTTATGCATCAGAGAGTTGGACAATGACTAGGGAAGATAGAAGGAGAATTGATGCCTTTGAGCTGTGGTGCTGGAGAAAAGTATTGAATGTACCCTGGACTGCCAAGAAAACAAACAGATCCTAGAGATGGTTAAACCAGGCTACTCCTTGGAGGCAAGGATTCTGGGGCTTCGTCTGACATACTTTGGTCATGTTGTAAGGAGAAACAGGTCCTTGGAGAGGGACATCATGCTTGGTAGGGTGGAGGGACAGCGCAGGAGGGGAAGACCCTTTATGAGGTGGATTGACTCAAGTGACTGGGGTAATCGGGATGGGTGTGTCAAAGACCATGCGACTGGCACAGGATAGAGCAGGGTTTAGGGCTGCTGTACACATGGTCGCTATGAGTCGCAAACGACTCGACGGCACATAAGAACAAAAGCAACAATTCCAATTTCAGCACCTCTGTAATGCTAAACAACATTGAAGAGGACATTCTTTATGTTATATTAAGGGAAAAATTTTTAAATTATTAGGTATAAAAATAAAGAGCTCAAAAGCACACCTGAGATAGAAAGCAAGCACCCTTTCTGCTACATTTATCAAATGAAAAGCAAAACAATGAAAACTGCAAGATGCAAAAACCATGGAATTATAATATCTAAAATTCTGCATGACATGTAATCTTTTACTTCTGAAAAAGCAGCAGCAAGGTAATCAAGCTACAAAACAACTTTACTAATCAGCAATAGATTAAAGCCATTCAGACCACTGAAGAATGACTGGTTCACTATAAAACATACTTACTTGTCATCATGCTCATATATGTTGAGACCCAATGCATCAACACCTAGCCACAGTTCAGTTCCCTTTTTATTTTTTATTTCAAAATAGTTGACTCCATACATCTCTAGATCTTGTGCAATCTTCAGGTATTCCATCATGGAATCCTCCCTGTTGAAATAAAGCTTAACTGTTATATTTTAAATAAGAGTACAATAAAATGGGGGGGGGAATCCCTTAGATTAACATTTAGTGTACTGTACTAATTTACATAATCTTTTGAGAATGATCACATATTATGTAGTTGTTGTTATGTGCCGTCGAGTCCCTTGCGACTCATAGCGACCCTATGTACAACAGCCCTAATCCCTGCTCTGTCCTGTGCCAATCACACTGTCCCATCCCAATTATTCCAGTCACTGAATCAATCCACCTCATAGAGTGTCTTCCCCTCTTGCACTGTCCCTCCACCTTCCCAAACATGATGTCCCTCTCCAAGGACCTGTCCCTCCTTACAACATATCCAAAGTATGTCACATGAAGCCCCAGAATTCTTGCCTCCAAGGAACAGCCTGTTATCAGGAAATGAAATTTGAAGAAAAAGTACAAGGAAAATAGCCACTTAAATACCTTAACATTCCCCGATGTTCTTCATGCCAGTTCTGTATTCTTTCTTCCCACTGTTCTTTTGTCAGTTTGTGTTGCTCTAAAACACTGTAAGGGAGGGAACAGTCTATGAAAACACTTTTATGATTAAAACCAAAAATCAATGTTCTTTCAGATACCTAGGAATCTTCCCATATTTGACTATGGCAGCTATTACACAAAGCCTAAGAGAAGAAACAAAGGGGCGAAATTAAAAGAATTTTAACATAGGTCACCTAAAACTAAAACCGGGACCTAAAACTGTGGAGAACTACACAGCTGAGAGAAGATGAGAGAGCTGTCCTAAACTTAAGAAGGAAGAGACAGGCTCTTCATTTCAGGAGAGCTTTCTAGATTTTTCCTACATGTTTTCTGATCCTGATGGAGCTGGATCCTACTGATACTGGAAATCACATAGGAAAAGATTGTTCATCTTTCTCCCCAAAGCACAGCTGCTAGATTTTTCCCTCCCGAGAGGCATCACTCTTGCATTAGCAGCTCGCCATGGATTAGGCCACGAGAGCACCCTAACTAACACTAGACTGTTGTCAAGTGCTGTCGAGTTGAGCACAACTCACAGCAATCCTATGAAAACCAAATCTGAACCCTGTTTTATCCTGTGCCATGCTCATCATATCTAGCAAGAGCTCACTGCTACAGCTGCTTACTGGGGAAAAAAAAATCTCAAGATTTATGGAGGAAGCAAAGATTTCCAGTTATTGTTCTCAAAACCACTTATGAATACACCTATTTGGTTGTATTAAATTTTTTCTTAAGCAATCAGTCACATCTTCCCTCAGCTCAAGTTGTTACTGCCATCATTACTGTTTAACTTACAGAAATAAGGAATAAAAGTAGAAAATTTAAGTAATTATAGACTGTATCACCTACGGAGCTGCTAGGTCATGGTTTTAGAAATATTATCTCAGGGGAGCTCTGGTGGCCTAGAGGTAAGGAGCTGCAACTACAATCCCAGAGGTGCACGGTTCGAATCCACCAGATGCTCTGCCGGGGAAGGAGGGACAATCTCCTCCTGTACAAGT